GGACCAGCCCCCACTTACGGAGGCCCCGGCTACCCCACGGATGCCTTTGGACAGCCCGCGTTTCAGCAGGGGGCCCCCGGCTTCGGACAGCCCGCTTATCCTGGCCAGCAGGTCCCTTTCCCACAGGTGCCTTTTCCACAGATGCCCTACCCACAGGGCCCCTACCAGCAGGGCCCCCAGCATCCGGGGTTCCAGCCCCAGGGCCCCACTCCCCACACCGACGACCCCTCCGGTGAGTGCCAGGCCGGAGACTGTCCTTTATCCCCAAGCCAGCTGTCGACCAGTGTTGGCCCTTCTTGGCTGTGGGGATTACATGTGATTCAATTCAATTCAGTTTATTTTTATATAGCGCCTTTCACAACACGGTTGCCCCAAGGCACTTGGAGGGATCAGGCCTTGGGGGAGGGGGGTAGTGCAGGATCCCTCTTTATCCTCTGCCTCTTAGGTGACCAGGCTTCAGAATTTGCTTAATGATCCTCTTCAAAGAGAAACACGACAACGGATTGATAGTTTTTCATTAATTGAATGACGGGGGGGGGGATTCAGTTTTCAAGAGCCACATAATGAATTACGTTTTTGGTTTTTGCTTTGTAATTGAAGGATTTAGTGCTGGTGATGCCAGTGTATAAGTGATAGTATTAACTATTCCTAATGGAACATCTGAGTTCATGCCAAGTCTCCGGAGACTTCAAAGTTCCTGTTTAATTCTCAGAATCAATTTAAGGTTGCTGTTTAACATTATGGCGCTTATGAGTAATGATTTTTATGTAAAAGAAGTTTCCTTGTTACTAAGATATGAGCTCTTTCTAACTTGTAGTTCTGAAATGTACGTGTGATTGTGTTCAGTCCCGCTCAACAGTCCTGGTTACCATGGGGACGTGCCTCCTTCTTACTACGATAATGAGGAGTTCACCACTTCAACCTGGGAGGACAAGTCCATTCGACAGGCCTTCATCCGCAAGGTGAGCAAGCAGAACAGAGCTCCGGCCTTCAGGACACAGCTCCTTAACATGGATTTCCAGAAGCAAAAGAAAACATGACTACTGTAGAAGTTCATAAAATGCCAATACTGCAGGATGTTTCTGAAACTTAAGTAGTTAAACTGCACTAACAACTTTCAAACTTCTGCATTGCCTTTATTTTATCAACCATTTAAATGTCAGATGAATGTAAGTTATAAACATGGAGGTGCCCAGTGTTAAACCTTCTGAGGTTTTTATTCTCATTATGCGGTGGAGGGAAAATTCAAAGTGTTTGCTATCTACACCGTGTCCAGACAGCACTCCCATTCCCTCACTGTTGATACAGTGTACCTATTATGAAATATTGTACCCCAGAAACTGCAAAAAAAGTCAAGGTAATTGCAAAGCCATCTTATTTAGCATACAACGTCATTCCAAAGTGAGAAAAGTACAAGACTTGGTTATACTCTAGAAAATGAATTTAGAGTAGAAAGCAAATGTCTTGAGTTTCATACGCAAAGTCATGTCTGATGGTGAGATATTGGTAATCTGTGCTCTAAATGATTACAAGACCTCAAGATTGCAATGATTACAAGATTAAAAGATTATTATGCTGATTATGTGATGGCCAGGCCTGCACATAAGACACATTTTTAATTGTGTGAAAAGGGAAGAAAAACGCAGCTTATATTTTAAAAGTCGTGTAATGGCTGTGAGTTTCTTTGGGGTCTGACGTCCGCTCTCTTATGATGTGCTCGGATTCCGCTCCACGTCCATGCAGTCTAGAGCCGGAGGGAGCCCGACAGGCCCCCGTGGCTCTGAAACTGAGTCTGTTTTTTCCCCGTGTTGCGTTCTCCAGGTGTTCATGGTGTTGACCGTGCAGCTGACGGTGACGTTCGCGTTCGTGGCGATTTTCACGTTTGTGGACGACGCCAAGCTCTTCGTGCGGCAGCACCCCTGGATCTACTATGTGTCCTACGCCATCTTCTTCGTCTCGCTTATCGTGCTGAGCTGCTGCGGGGATTTCAGGCGCAAGCATCCCTGGAACCTCGTGGCCCTGGTGAGTTATTATTTTCGACTGCCCTCTGCTTTTTTGCCAATACACCAGCAGTTCTTCACCTGCTGGTGTCCTTGGTTTGGAAAACACTGATGCTCCAGTAATCATCAGCTGGTGATGTCACACGTGGTGATGTCACGTGTGTACGTGGACAAGGGAGAGAGATTATATTACCCTTCTGCTTATAGTTTAATAAAATAGTATAAAATAGTTTTTGGCATTCATTTGAAGTGTGTTAGAACCTGCAGAGCTTTGCACAGAGCAGCTTCATGTTGTGTAGTGGATCAGCTACCAGTCTGCAGCTCTGATCCATCAGACTGATGGCTCGTGAACAACCCTGAGGTTTGGTGGAATTGGAGTGAACCCAAGCCCTCACGGTCCATGTTGTCCCCTCTGTCTTGCAGTCACTCCTGACCCTGAGCTTGTCCTACATGGTGGGCATGATCGCCAGCTTCCACGACACGGACTCGGTCATCATGGCGGTGGGCATCACGGCTGTGGTCTGCTTCACCGTCGTGCTCTTCTCTCTGCAGGTGCGTCCCCCCACACCCTCCTCTTTCTCCTCTCCAGTCCTCTGCTCCGCTCCCGGCTGCCTGGAGCTGTTCGTGGGGTGTCTTCTCTTACTCGTGTTTCAACTATAGGAAAACACCTCAGACACTTGAGTGATTTATCCTGGACCTGCCTGAAGGTCTCTCCAAGTTTTACAGTTAATTACGCCTGTTGTTTTTTGTGTTAGCTCTCGTTGCCTGCATTATAAATAATGTTTTAGTGACAGTCAGTAGCAAGTGTTGGCCAGTCAGTGTTCTGTATTGGGGCGGAGGGCATAGAAACTCTTTAGAGCTCCTGACACTCTTTAGGCACACGAAAGCAAACCTGCTCACACAAACAAGAAGCTAAACCTGCCTGCAGAAAGTGCTGAAGGTTAAGTTCGTCTGGTATGCATTCAGGTCAGTTGCTTTACCTTTTGTTCATTAGGTCCACTAAAGTGAGCCTGTCTGTTTTCCCCTATTAAACCTGGGCGTAAGTGAAAGTGCATGGCTGTGTCCCAAATTCAGAAGCACAGCCAGGAGACGCCAGGCGCTTCACTCAGAAGACATTTACCACTTCATGCACTGTTCTAGAAATTGTACGCTCTGAAATGTGACAGTCTTTCTAAAGATGTCAGCTGCAGCAGCCAGCGTAGCAGACTTCTGTAACCTGGAAGCCTCGCACACAGGTTGGAGATGCGCAGTTCCGGCAAACGCCACAGGATGGCAGCCACACAGCTCGTAACGTCTCTCCTTCTCCACCGCAGACGAAGTACGACTTCACGTCCTGCCGGGGGGTGCTGTTAGTGTGCCTCATCGTGCTGATTCTCTTCTCCATCATCTGCATCTTCATCCGGCACCGCATCCTGCACATCGTCTACGCCTCCCTGGGAGCCCTGCTCTTCACATGCGTACGTCCCGTCCCACTCCGTGCAGCTCGCGTCACACAGAGTTTAACAGGAAGGAAATGTCCTGCGGCCCTCTTTTCAGAAATCGCTTTCAAGCTGAGTCAGGTTCATTTGGTGTCCCAAGAAATGAGCAAGATTGCCTTTTAAACTTCCTTGAGCTCCCAGTTGTCTCCGGTTAGACACAGCCGTGTCACATCTGGAATCAGGATAGCTGACGTGAAAAGTCTCTGGTCACAATCATGGTGGATAAGACGTTTAAACATCGCCGTGGCTCACGATGGGGACTTAGGGACACCCGGTCAGTTCGAACTGTCTTTCTCCTCCACTTGCAGGACAGGCTCCGTCTTGCCATGACTCCTCCAGAGGGCTGTAGTCAGGCCCCGTTTGGGCTGACTAAGCTTGTGTGTTTCGTGTTGGTGCCTTTGTGTTGATGCTAGATTGTCCATTCTGGGTTACAGGAACACTCAAGACGTTTGAGCACTCCTTTTACTAATTAGATTCTTTATATTGCTACAAACGGGGGAGTTACAAAAATGGAAAAAATCAGGAATAAGCCGAGCAGATTAACTGATAAGGAAAATAATCATAACCATCCAAGATTTTTGCCAATATTATATATACCTGAGAAATTGGTATAATTAGAAGCTTATGGGTTCTTGGTTCTCTGGTGAAAAGAGTAATTCAGGCACATAGGGTTAAACAAATATTTATTAAAAAATACACACACTTAACGCATCATAAACGTATAACAAACCAGTTATGTTATTTGCAGAACCCAGAAAATCCCCAGGCTGTTACCTAGTCTTCAAACTCTTATACAGTATAATGCCTACAAGGGCTCAAAGAACACATAAGCTTCCTCCAGAACTAACCAAAATACAACCTGTGGTCAAATCTCTCTCCCTCTCTCTGTAAACTTCAATGCCACAAAATAAACAGGAACCTATTTCCCTATTTTAAAAATGCATGCACTAGCCAGGAGAGGGCATTTTTTACCGAGGGATTCATTACACAGGAATTCATGAGATTCTCAGAAACACTTCCATAGTCAAATATAGCTTTAATATTGTTTTATTTTACTACACAACGTGGTATATACTGTACATTTGTGCCTCCAATTCTGTCCTTCAACATCTGCTTTGTTCTGTTTTTTTGCAGTTCCTGGCAGTTGACACCCAGTTGCTCCTTGGAAACAAACAGATGGCGTTGAGTCCTGAAGAATATGTGTTTGCTGCCCTCAACCTCTACACAGATATTATTAACATTTTCCTCTATATTCTGGCCATCATTGGGAAGGCTCGAGAATAACTCAGTGGAGGGGATGGATGGAATGTGAAAGTGTTTTTTTTTTTTCTGCAAAGCAACAGAAGAAGTAGAAGTTCTCTCTGAACATTTGATGTGGAATTGGTTATGTATGCTCATTGCCACATTATTTCAGCCAGGCTATTACTTTTACATCTCTGCAAACTGCAGAATCGAAGTTTTAAGATTTTGTTTTTCTTTAGGATCAGAAAAAAATCTTTAAAGTATGTACAGTAGCTGTATATTAAAAGCTGCTTGTTTGGACTAGGCATTTCCCCCCAAAGTCATTCCTTTCTGCAACAGGAGGCTGTGTTAACCATAGCTGAAGAAGTGTGGTATACTCTTTGCCTGTCCCTTAAACTGGGTGCAAGTGACAGGGCTCAGAATGGACAGAGACAGTAGACGTACAGTAAATGCAGTGTGAGAATCCATTGCCATGTGCCCTATTACCACATTCAAGTATGTCTTGGTTTGAATGAAAAATAGTCTCTCAGTGTGTAAAAAGACTCCGACATAATATTGATAACATTCTGAGATTCTGGAGAGCAGTTTTTCCTTCTGCTTCTGACTGTTTGCATTGCTGGAAAAAAAAAGAAAAACGCAGAGCTGACTGCTGTGAAACATTGGCAACCAATGCTGAACCTACTTAAGAAATTCCTCTTGGCTAACTGATGCCTCTGCATTTTCTTATACTTACAGTTACCGTGTACAGCAGTCAAGCACAGTTCATGGGTCAAAAAGCACGACAATGCTGAGCTGTAATGTAAATCTATTCATATGACTGACTTGCCATTCTGTTGAATCGAATCTGTTAATAGTAATACAACTGAGATGATCAATTCTTTTCTGGAGACAGATCTGATTGAAGAAAGCTATTTCATCACACTCTACCTTGCCTGCTTGTATGATGAGACGTTACTGCATACTTCTACAATATCTTCGACAAAATTATTCTTATAGAAAAAAATAACTTCCGTACTAATCTCTTAATACTTAAAGCGGATAATAAGCTGATATTGTACAGTAATTCAAAAATAGCATGGTCCATGGATTTCCTGACTTGCAAGATTTGAATGTTCAGTTTCCATTTCTTACTCCTTTAGTTATCATATTACTGTTTTATGAGGTATGTTTGTTGTAGATCTTTAAAATTTAAATATGAAGGGTAAATATACTTCAATTCCTTTGAGTTTAAACTTCTAAAAATATAAATGTAGAGGGTGGTTTAATATGCATTTGATTTTTAATGTTAATATGCTCCTGAAACCTGCAAAGAGACATTTTAAAATGAAGGAATACCTAGACTTAACATGTTATCTTTGAAGCTACAGGTTACTTTGCATCTCGTTAACACGCCATGAACTATTGGAAAGGTAACAGTACAAAGTTATTTCTCAGGCAATAGTCTTTTTGGATTCCTCCTCATTTTTTCAGGCTCTCAAGTAAAGACTTGTTATTTTGGCTTCTTTGTAGTTTTTGTGTAAAGCCTAGAATTCCCAATATAGATTAGAATTGAACTGTTTTTAGGAGGAGCACTTGAGGTTTTTTGGGGTGATCTTTTGGGGTGTTTTTTTTTGTCTGGCTTGACACTATAGTGTTATAACACTCTAACTGTATAATTGACAATGTTTTCCATCAGTATCGTAGTGAGCAAAGGTAATCGGTCTCAGCTGAGCCTAGCTGGGTGTTATTCTGCAGCTCGTATGTGTTTGAATTCTAGATCGTAATGAAATCAAGTGAGAATTTCACCAGTTTACTACTAACCATTTAAAAAACTAACTTCTTGATGACCAGAAATGATCGGACACATCGGACCCTAATTGTAAAAGAAAAGTAGTCTTTGGAAAATATCAGAACAAACGGGAAAACAGGTTGGGCTGAAGGAAAACTACAGAGTAACTGTTTGTTCACACCCCTTAGCTGCTGCATGAAGACTGTGAAAAAAGCATTTGAATCCTTACAAACTCCCTGCGTGCAAAATGAGGCGAGTAGTGGTCTAGCTGAAATGCTTAAGACATGACTGGTTCTAAACTAATGTGATCGACTTTGTCAGTATTGCATCCCAACAGGTGTGACTTTTAGACAATTTGAAGCACTAATCCTACATCAAAGCAGGTTTCACTGAGTCCCAAATTAGTGTGTGGATCCCAGCAAGCATCTTGAACTTTAATCCAAAAGGTGTATGTGTTTTGCATTTTGTAACATGTATTTATTACATCTGCACGATCGTTTGTGTGTGTTCCTGCTGCATTTTTGCAGTCAGTTACAGTAGGTGCACACATGGTTGATTTTAAAAAGCAAAAATGTTGTGTAGCTCACTAGTTTTTCGTTTTTGTTTAACATTTTTATTTGTATGTACATCTATTTAAAATGTATGTATAGGTTTTTCTTTCAAGCAGTAGGTTGACGTGTAAAGTATAAATATTGGCTTTGTAGTTCTGTTTGCACTGTAAAACGGGCTCATTACTGAAATGAGAGATATTGAACTACATAGCTGTTTGCTTTTCATTAAAAGAGTAAGAATACGTTAATACGAGTGTTGTCTATTTTTTCATTCATGTTTGATATTGTTATAAAGGTGTGCTGTACTTAACAGTGGTATTTTTCTGCGATGTACAGTATTTAGCTGAATCATCCTTTTTTGTAAAGCGATTGGTTTCCAGAAAAAGCATCACAATCTTGCTACAACCTTTGCTTTAGGGCTAAAAGCAAGTAGTAAAAGAGTATTTGCTGTGATGCTGGTATTAATGCCGTTCGAGAACTTTAGAAATTACTGAACGTGTAGTCTCCACCCAAGTGGTTCGGACGATAAACACACTCCCAAAAGTGCGTATTGGAATCGGTGACAAAATCTCAAGTGTTAAGCATAACAGAAAAATACAAGTGCAGGAAAGATTAAAAATTTGAATAGCGCAAGTGTAAAATAAGAGCGAGTTTGCAAGACAAAAATACAGTGCTAAAATAACAAAATCGCAGGCAGAGGTGCCCATTTGCAAAGCAATTAAATCTTTGTCTCTGGTCTTACCTGCGGGTATCGGAGTGTTTACTGTAAATGTCGAGTTCCGAGCCTGGCCTAGGTGTTCCTGTCGATCTCGTACTATCCTTTTGTAAAGAAGGGAGAAGGGAGGCCAGTGAAATACCTTGGCACAAGACAAGACAAGACAAAAAGTTTATTTCTCCATTTGCCAAGCCAAATTATATTAAGTCAGGTGGGTAGCTGCGTCAGCATGCGTAGGCTGCAAAGGAACAAGTAATAGGTTAATTCCATGCTGAAAAAAAGAAGAAAGAGAACACAAAGTTTCGGCCGTGGAGCCTTCTTCAGGTGTGATGCTCACATCCTGTAAATACCCCCCATTAATAAGGGGAATATTAATTCACAAAAAAAAATTGAAGGTAATAGACAAAACATAATTATCAAAATGAGTACTAACCTGATTTTAGGCAACCACTTAATTATATAACGTAATACGTGACATCATAATGGCAGAAGACGTTTAGCATTGAAGCTAATAAATTATATAAAACTGGGACCACGGAAAATTTCAAGCTGATACAGGTTTTCACCGCAGGGACAGTCACATCGAGCTCAGAACCGGGTACTTAAAGGGAAAACGCTAGCGAAATCGCTAGAGGGACTCCCTCCACATGGAGCTGCTGGGGAGCTACGAGTTGCTGGAAAGGGAGAACGAGAAGCTCCAGAAGGAAAACGGCGAGCTGAAGCTCATGGTGGGGCTCATTAAGACGAACATGGAGCTGCGGTCCCAGCTGGGCTTGCCGGCAGAGGACCGAAGCGCAGACTCCGCTGCCTTAAGCAACTCGCAGAGAAAAGCCGGGGTTGCAGGTAAAGGGTGTGTCTGCTTCTCTGTGTGACGTTTATCGTCCTGACCTCAGTCTTGTAATCTTAAAGCTCTAGGTGGGGATAGTTTAGAGAGCGAGTCTCTGGACCCGCCTCCTGAACAGGTTGTGGGTTCCAGTCCCCGCTACAGATACTGATGTTATACCTTCAGCAAGGTGCTTTATTTACCCTAGTTGCTCCAGTACAACCGGCTGTGTAAATGGGGACCCACAGTTTTATGGGGATAATCAGCTCCGTGAAGTTGCGCCCCCGACAAACAGCACAAACAATGAAACCCACGTGAGGTATTTCTTTCGTCACCAGATCTTTCAATTGTGATCTTTTGATCAGTTGACCCCGGCGTTTACACTAATAAAGGTCTTACATTTAGGGAGGTGTTGCTACGTTAGTTCATTGGCTTAGGTGTTTTCTGTTTTAATTTTTAACCATATTCGCGAAAATGTATTGCTTGTGCACTCCTTTTATTGGTGAAGAGACACCGTTGCTGTATCCTGACAACACCAGTTTCCAAATTACGGAGACAGTTATATTGCAAATACAAAATGTATTTCGAATAATACGGGACATTGTGAATTAATAAAGGCGTTAAAATAAAAACGATGTAGTTATTTTGCGAATAAGTAAAGCGTTTTAAAAATAGATTACGATTGACAGTAAACAAGCCGATCCACCTGACGCTGCCAGCTTGAACATCTCTCAGACCCGTGATTGGCTAAACCCCCGGCCTGAATCTTGGTGAAAAGTTCGGGCCACAATTGGGTGGAATTTAGCAAGATTGAAAATAGACCCTCTGGTTAAAGCGCAACAGCGGACGTTACGATAACATAGGTGATGGGTTTTCTTCTTTGGTCCAAATACTGCAGCCCCGGTTAACCGTGTGTGCTGTATGAGCACGCTGGATATACAGTAACACATCCATTGGTTTCCAATAACTGAGAAATCTAAGAGAACTGAGCTCAAGACTGAATAGCAGACGAAGAATGTCATGGCATCCACAGCGCCTTCACGACACAGATAGCATGTCACGATAGGGGTGCGCGCATCACGATCACATTGCGGTACTAGCCGCATTACTATTACTGCCGTGGCGCTCTGTCGCCACTGTTGCCACGAGAAGTGGATATATCGCGATATGATATATCCAGACAAAATGCCCCGCCCCCATCTCGTGACAGTTAAGGCCTTATATCACGATATGCCACCCCCCCAAAAAAAACGCCCCCCCCCCGTGTCGCGACTTGAAGTGCATATATCGCGATATGATATATCCCGGCAAACGCCCTGCCCCCATGTCACGACATGAAGTCCGTATATCGCGATATGCCACCCCCCATGTCACGACATGATATTTACATATCGCGATATGATATATCCCGGCAAATAACCTGCCCCCCATGTCGCGACATGAAGTCCATATATCGCGATATGTCACCCCCCCCAAAAAAAAACCACCCCCCATGTCGTGACATGAAGTCCTTATATCGCGATATGACACCCTCCCCCCAAAAAAGCCCCACCCCCATGTCGCGACATGAAGCCCGTATATCGCGATATACCACCCCCCCCCACCCCAAAAAAACTGCCCCCATGTCGCGCCATGAAGTCCGTATATCGCGATATGACACCCCCCACCGCCCCCCTATGGCGACATGGAGTCCATATATCGCGATGTGACATACTCTGACAGGATACACCACCTCCATGTCGCGAAACAAAGTCCGTATATCGTGACTCGTTCTATCTGGGTATATCATGTTTGTTATGATATGATACCTTTGTCGCAACAATGGCACCAGTCGTAATAGTCACGCACCCGTTGTCACGATATATGCTGCCGCGATATACATGCGGTCCCTATCATGACATGCTGTGGAGCTCTTGTAGCGATGATACCTCACAGTAACACGTTTGGCAACACAGCATGTCACGGTAGGGAAAGAAAAGAAAACGTGCCTTAGAAAATAAAAATTATATCTCTTGCAATCACGGTGATTTTACATACATTAAAACCACAATTTTATGTCATAGATGGTTAACTTGTTGGCATGCGTCAAGCCTTATTTATTATTCACATTTTAAGAAGGCTCATAAGTTTATGGATATCGGTAATATTAAGGGAACGAGCTAAACCGTCCATTTGCTGCCTCTGTGTTGTAAGGATCACTTTAACTAGAGAATGACGTTTTACAACATATCCAGTAGACCGTGAGTATTGCTATAAAATCCAAAGCAAAACGTTTTCTTACAAAGCTTATTAAGTTACACCATCACAAAACAGTTTAAACAGAAGTAAACAGTTTAGTATAAAATTACAACATCTGGTGTGTTACACTGTTCAAGGAAACGTACTGGATTAAAGCTCTGTATTGTTCCCTCTGTATTTCACACCTTGTTATAAAGGTGTGAAATTGCAAAGGCTTAGGTCAAATGATCGAAAGATCACAACTGAAAGATATGGTGGACGTGATATTTTTGTACATCACAGAGTGAGGTCACAGCCAGAAGAAGAATGCGCTATATTGAAATATATTGAAACATCCATCCCACCCGACCAGACAGACTCAGAAAACAAATTGCACCCATTGTTTTCCTAGCATACAGGAGTTAAAGTGCCGAGTATGTTGGTACCTGTAAACTTCCTTGTACTACAAGTTGTAGTCACGTGATTACCATGAGAAAAAAAAAGAGGAGGCGCTTTATCTCACTAATGAATGAGACCGGTCCGGTTCCACGACGATGTTGTAGGGGGGCTGAGTTACATCACGACCCCGAAAAAACATAGCACTTTAACCCCGGAAACGAAAGCTGCACAAACGCTACTTTTAACGGCATAAATGCAGCACTAACGAATGAGGTGGGTTTAATCATTTGTGCTGTTTGTAGGGGGGCACCTTCACGGAGCTGTGATAATCCCCGCGATGTGTTCCCTGGACTTACTATGTACATGGAATTTTCTATTTTCTGAGTCACCGTGGGTGAAACTATAAGCAAAATATTGTCCGCCCTGGTGGGCACAGGGACTCACTGCTTCTTACCGAACAAAACTTCCCATCTGTGCCTCTAAGGCAAGGTACAACAATGTGTACTATAAGCACACGTACTGTATGTACTGGGCATAAAGTTACATGATGGAAGACCTACAAAACTTTCGTGAATATAACCAAGGGTTTGTTTCTGCTCACTCTCCTCAATGTCGTTGTGCCTTACAAGATCATCTAATAATCGTCTATATGACTGGATTGATTGTTCTAAAGTCAGAGCACTGGGGCAATTAATAAATTTAAAAAGGTGAATTCAAATTGCCAATCGTTGTGTCTTTAAAAGTCTTTCAGGATCCCTGGCCTGTCTGTATTTTTGTAAAATATTTTTCTAATGCAGGACAAACATCAACCCTTGTGTGGGATGAGACTTTGGAAGAGGGCAGATTTAGCTCCCATCTCCAGAAAATGCCACACAAAACATCTTCCCCCCTGAATCTCAGCTCCCCAGGCAAAGAGTCCCTCGCTGTCAACAGCCACAATGAAAATGTTTCCCTTGACAAAAGGAGCAGAAATGAACCCTTGACAACTCCTGACATGACAGGTAAGAGGAGCAGAGATGGGCCCCTGTCGTCTCCTGACAAAGCAGGTCATCCGTCTCTGAACTTGCTGACAGCGCACCTCAGGAGACTTCTCAAGCCGAGGCTCCTTTAACGTACAGTATTGTAAATCAATATATAAACAAAATAAAAAGTGAGGGTATAATTATATAATGCAAATTAGGCATTGCAGGTTAATAACCTTCTTCGAAAGCACATGTAGCAGCGTTCACATTTATTTTGAACTGAAAAGCACATTACAATTATAGGGAGAAATCTTTCACCTTTTATCAGTGTGAAGTGAAATGTGAGCTTGGCTCAAGGAACAGACCTGTTAATCATGTGGTTCAAGACTGGAATGAGCTACACGAGGCTCCTGATCCACACTTTCGCAGCAGTGTCAGGGCCCACAGGTTGGGAAGCACTGTAATGCAAGGGCACAAGAAGTCCAAGTTTGAGCTGACAAAGCCTGTTCCTCCTGCCAGATTGATCAGCGATGCTGAAGTCTCACCTCAGAGCTTGCTGAACTTATTTCAGTCCTGCAGTTTGCCAGTTGTTCTGTAAGGATGGCTGCACACTTATTTTCCAGAGTTAGTTGTTGAGTCACATGTCCTGACTATTCTTTTCAACCAAACAGAGACTTGTGTATCTGTTTGGCAATCACAAATACAACAAAAAATATTGTCGTCACTAATTATAAATAAAACATCCTGTATACAAGAGACAATTAAGACTTTTTGCTAGAGTACATCATGATCTAATGAAGATACAGTGGCTAGTACTTCCACGGAGGTATGTGGCAATAAAGACACCACAGAAAACACAGATCACAAGAGAGTGAGCAGTCCTCTCCTCAGCAGGTTGCTAAATGTTTGAAAGTGAGTTAGATAGGCATGTTTTGTCTACTGCAGTTTCAGCAGTTAACCAGTAGAGCCACGAAGGCACGGGTGGACATTTTTATCGAGCCTTCTTGGTTTTGTGCTACAGACCCTGTCCAACAGAGCCAGGAGCGTGTGGTTGGTGAGATAGCATTTCAGCTGGATCGCAGGATACTGTCCTATGTGTTCTCAGGCCAGACCAGACTGTATGGATTTACTGTGTTCAACATCCCAGATAAGATCATTCAGGTCAGTGAGTGGATGCAGAGCAGAGGAGAGTAGCTTCTTCTGGAACACACGTGGTTTCTGCTAAGGTGTTTGCTGCACCTATGGTCCTTGCCTTTTGAATGGTCACAGTTAAACTCATTAAATTTTCAGTATATCGATGAGGATCCTGCTTCTGAAAGACTACTTTAACGCCTTACTTTTACTGAGGTGTTTGCTATGGTATTAAACAGGCTTCAATATTACCAAATTTCAGTCACTATTGTGGTAAATCCAATAGACACTCTGCAACTGTCTACATTTCTTAAACTTGCTTAAAGATTTTTACTTTTACTCTAGTTCTTAACGTATAATTATTTGTTACTGCTAGTTTTCTTTCACAGTTTTACAGTGCATTTTCTTACTTCTGTGTTTTATTCATATTCTATTGTACACCTCTTTGAGTGTATTAAAAATGAAAGAGATCAATTCAATGTATTATCACTTCTACTTGCGCTGCTACAAAGGAGGTTCTCAGCTATATTCATTTCCCTGTTCTTTTGATCTTGCTGATGTCTATCATGTTTGTGAAATTTACAGTGACAAGCAAATTTTGTTGATCACCTAAGGATTAGCCATTTATTGAGCTCTGCACACTTATGTACAATAATAATTTGCTTCAGGAGCTATTCATTTAATTCAACAAACTCTTAAATTAATTCAATTAATTAGATGTCTCTGTGGAATACAAAAATTATGCACACTCAGATTTGTCCCATGTGAAATAGCTTTTAAGTTATGCTCTTAAGTAGGCTTGTTCTGTAAGTCTGTGGATAATACTTTTCTCTTCTCTTAAAAATGTAAATTATATTTTATATGTGTCATATTTGTGTTCCACAATCTGTAATATGTCTGTAGTGAACAAATGCAGGGATTGAAAATTAAAAATGTTTTTATTCCAAGTGTTTAGTAGTTCATCTTACTGTACAGAACAACCAAATGAAATGTGTTAAAAGAAATTTGCCTGCTGTCGTTTTTTCTTGTGAACCTTTGAAACAAGCATGCTTTGTTTCTTATTCATAATTTCTAAGCACTACCGTATGCCATCTTGCAAACTTTAAAATGAAAGAAGAATCATTGATTTAGATTCCAACATAAAATACTGCTGTGATGCAGCTGTCAAAAAGGAAGTGCTTTTTTAAAGAAAATCTGATCAGTCTGGACATGTAGATTCGTCTGAATCATTTCTAGAATTAAGGTGCATAAAGAAGGGTTAAACAGTGTGATAGAAATGAGGTAACCTGGAAGAATAAAACATAAAAAGAACTCTAGAAACATGGCAACTATCTCTCAACCAAGCAACCTTTGAAAGAAAGGAATTTTCTGAGCCGTGTCTCTTAAATAAAGTGTCTGCTTCCTTTAAATAGCTCCTGCACAACATCTGCAAATGTAGCAACCAATTACAGCTACCTCTAGATGAAAGTGTTAAAGCCACTGCTATCCATGTCAGTAAGCTTTTTTGGTTGTTGTCCGTCTATCCTGGCAGCAATGAAAGGGACAGTCTGGGATATCTGTCTGTTAACGTGTCCATGGCTCTCTGCAGGTGTCCACTAACCTGGTGAGTGGAAAAGTCGACCACGGCTTTCGTGCCCACATGACCCACCGCTACTTCGACTTGATGGAGAAGCTCAGGAAGCTGGGCTACAGCATGACCCTGCACCCCCACTTCACCGAGTTCATCGTCAACTCCTATGGCATCCTCAAGCAGAGGCCTGAGGCCTACAGCACCGAGGACAGGAGCTACAGCGATCCCGAGATCCTGAGGAAGCTGGTGATTGACATGGTGCCCTCGAACCTGCTCAAGGACATTCTGCGGCTCTTCAGCTGCCTGTGCTACATGGCCAAGCAAGATGGGAAGCCTCTCTTCATCTGGTAGCGGAACGTTCTTCCTGGGCCACAATAAAACAACCCGCCACAGACACATCTGGCTTTCTTGAGCTCCCTTTTATAGCAGCCCTGCAATGTATGCAAGCAATATCCTAGATAAAATTCAGACTCAAGCATTGTTTAAATCGCCCTTTAGTTTCACCATGATCGAAAAATTTAGATTTAAGCTATATGATTCTTAAAATTGTGCTCAATCCTTAATTTTACATTCAGGTCTTATTTGCTAATAAATTCGGTTTACTAGGAATAACAAGACCCAAGAATTAAATGCACTGGAAGGATTAAAGAGTGTTTAGTCAAAATGTGGCTTAACCCTCTTGGCTGAGGGCTGACCTCCTGGGAAGAGGATGACGAGGCTGGGACCCCCATGCAGAGTGAGGAAGAGAGACCAAGGGGCAGCTGCAGAGGTGGAGACAGGGTGGAGGTGAGATGCAAAAAGTCGTATGTGAGGGAGAGAATGGGATCACGTACAGTATTTATAGTGTTTTAGAAGAGGAAATGATGTCAGCAGTGATTGCTAATTACTGACAACTGAGTCTGATTGAACTTGGTTGTTGTCATCTCTCCTGAACTTTATTAGAATCAAAGCTGAAACAAATGTTTAAATAAATGTTACTCTTTGTTGTAATTAAGAATCACGAAGGGTGCGCTCAGCTCTTTTTTGAGGGAGAAAACACTGAAATTATATTATAGGCCACTGAGTATATCACAGGCCTCACAGGAACACAATACACACTGCTTCCATGAGGTGCAGGTACTGCAAGTTGCAGGAATAATCCAATTTAGTCATCATGTGCAGTTTCCAAAATGTAGAAATCATTCCCAAAAATGTCCAAAGTTTTTTTTTTAATTTCACACAGTAGGGCCATTTTCTTGTGAAGACTTGAACTACATTAAATCGTTCCCCACCCATTTCTCACCATTTAATTCACACTAAAACCACTTCCTTATTAATTGATATATTTTCTGCAGCTGAACTTAATGCATGCTATTTGTTTTGTCCTGTGTTTTTGGATACGTGTCTTTGTGTTTTTGCGGGAAAACCAAATAAAATTGCCCTAACTAAGGAACAACGTCCTCCTTTTAAATTCTCTTGCACTCCATTGCACTCTCAGGAAGAGCCCACAATGTTACAACGCAAAAACACGGGCAAAGAAGAGATTTCCATGGCACATGAATGACAATCCAATACAACAGGTACAATCCACACAACATTGCCATTGGAGTCTGTCAGTACAGTGTGCCTCAGGCTTCAGAATCAAACCTCTCCAACCTTTTTCAAGGCCCTGAGCCCCACAGTCCAGGAAGTCGACAGAGGGGTTCGAATGGGAAGTTCACAAATGTGAATCAGCCTCTTCCTGAATCCCTGGCTAAGCAAGCAAATTCTACCCAAGTAGGCAAATCCCAAACCCCAAATCTACAGCACAAAATTGCCCCCTGAGCAATGATATCACTTTAACAGTCACATCTTATACTATGAGAGCTTTTCTTTTATGACATAGTGTCAGGCAGCAGCCTTGTAACGTTTCCATCTGTCTCATAGTATTCCATCTGTGAGCACCACACTACAGCTTGCAGTGCCTCCTGTCTCATTTTGCTGCAATACTCCAGCCCTCATTCAATGATTGCTAAATGAATCGTGTTCATATACTTGTACCAACTCAAGTCACTATCTGCTCTGTCCAAGACCAGAGAGCTCCAGTAAAGCAAAATATCAAAACCACTGTGAGGCATTGAATCTCTCGCTTCTCTTAAATACAAATATTGGTATTTTCCGTGCAGTTATTGTTATGTTAGTCTTGCTACATGACCATAAAAGTCCTCAAGAACTTTGAAACACATTTACAAATTTGTGAAAGACTGTTGTGAAGCACAACTTTTAAACTGCTGAATTAAAGCAGTTTATTAATTTAGATTATTGCTTTAGTGGCCTTTATTGGCACAACTACTGCAGTCAAAATCCAGTGCATTTGCCTCAGAGATAGTCATCTGTAACAAAAAAGTATCTCAGTTTTTTTTTTAAATCAATAATTTATTTTTTAAATTACTCTGTTTTTTTTCGCTTATGGGCTTGTTTGCAATAACAAGTACTGTACTTTTGTCGTCATTTATTTTATACAGTAACTGTGTGTAAGCCTGACAAATGAAAAATAATTTCACACAGGTCTACAAACTATATTCAGCGTTCCATCTGTCCTGTTTGTGGGGTTGACCATTTATTTCCTTTAGTGGAAAAAGTTATGTTAGCCATCTTTCTTAGTGCAGGGTTGTGGTTTGGAATTGAACATCACATTTGCAGCATGTTTTGAAACACTAAAATGTTGCAGAGGAACCTTGGCAGTTGTAGGGGAGGGGAAAGAGGCATAATGGAGACAAATCTTGACAAAGATGAGCACCTGTCTGTTTTATTTTTTTCATTTGTCCAACCAGGGGGACAGCAGGTACACAGTGAAAGTAAAGGGAAAATGGTGAGAGCATGAGTGCTGTTGGTGTCCTGTCCTGTTGGTGTTCCTGGGGTGCTAATACACTACTAGAGACACTCTGCATACTAGAAGCTTATCACCACATCTTTACATGCAGTGAGACTTGCTGAAACCGACCACAGAAACAGATATATAGTTAAGCAAAGA